ATTCAGTTTCAGGCACGGCATGTTCTATGCTCTGATGTGAATGTGCTAAAAATGGTAGCTGAGAACTTCAGTATCATTACAAGGTATATCTTCACAGAACTATAAAAGTATATTTCAGTCACATCACTGGCTAGATTCATAAATCCTGATGAAGGAAAAGATCACGGTATGCACCTTAATTATGGCTACTAAGTAAAATTAAGGCTGAGATTATAAATTTGCCTTACTTTAAGATTTTTATTGAAGTATAGCTAACATACAATATTATATTAGTTTTAGGTGTACATCATAGTTATTCAACAGTACCCACCTGGCATTATACAGAGTTATTATATTATTGATTATATTCCCTATGCTAAAGAAGTGATCACCATAAGTCCAGCATCGACCTGACACAGTCCCACGCTGTCACAATATTACTGACGATATTCCCCGTGCTGTCTGTTACAGCCCCGTGACTTGTTTGTTTTATGCCTGGAGATTTGAACCTCTTCTTCCCCTTCACCTTTTCCCCCCTTTTTAAAAATTTTCAATTATAGTTGACATTCAGTGTTATTTGATATTAATTTCAGGTGAACAGCATAGTGGTTAGACTTTTATATAATTTACAAAGTGATGCCCCTGACTAGCACCCATCTGACACCATACATAGTTATTACCATATTATTAATTATATTCCCTCTACTGTACTTGACATCCCCATGACTATTTTCTAACTACTAATTTGTACTTCTTAATCCTTTTCCCTTTTTTCACCCTCCAACCCCGGGACACTCCCTGTCATCTGGCAACCATCAAAATGTTCTCTATGAGTTTGTTTTTGTTTCTTTTACTTTGTTCTTTAGATTCCACTTAAAAGTGAAATCATATGACATTTGTCTTTTGCTGTCTGACTTACTATACTCAGCACAGTATCTTCTGGGTCCATCATATTGTCACAGATGGAAAGATTTCATTCTTTTTTCGGCTGAGTAGTATTCCATTGTATATAGGTACCACCTCTTCTTTATCCATTCATCCATTGTGGGACACCCAGGCGGCCTTCATACCTTGGCTATTGTAAATAATGCTACAATGAACATGTAGATGAGCTCATCCCCTCAAAGTAGCATTTTGGGTTTTTTCAGATAAATACCCAGAAGTGGGATTACCAGGTCTTTTGTCTCTTGTTATAGCCTTTGTTTTAAAGTATATTTTGTCTGGTGTAAGTATTGCTACCCCAGCTTTTTGTTTGTTTGTCTCCATTTTCATGAAATATCTTTTTCCATCCCTTTACTTTCAGTCTGTGTGTGTCTTTCAATCTGAAGTGAGTCTTTTATAGGCAGCATATGTGAGGGTCTTATCCATTCAGCCCCCCTATCTTTTGATCGGAGCATTTAATCCATTTACATTGAAAACAATTGTTGATAGGTATGTAGTTATTGTCATTTTATTATTCATATGCACATGAATAATAAAATACATATATATATATATATATATATACATATATATATATTTTTTTGTTTTGTTTTGTTTTTTTCATCTTAAAGTAGTCCCTCTAAGATTCCTTGGTGGTGATGAACTCCTTTAGCTTTTTCTTGTCTGGGAAGCGCTTTATCTGTCCTTTGAGTCTAAATGATTGCCTTGCTGGGTAATCTTGGTTATAGGTCCTTGCTTTTCATCACTTTGAATATGTCTTGCTAATCCCTTCTGGCCTGCAAAGTTTCTGTTTGAGAAATCAGCTGACAATTTTATGGGAGCTCCCTTGCAGGTAACTAACTGCTTTTCTCTTGCTGCTTTGAAGATTCTGTCTTTGTCTTTAACCTTTGGCATTTTAATTATGTGTTTTGGTGTGGGCCTGTTCGGGTTCGTTTTGTTTGGGACTCTCTGAGCTTCCTGGGCTTGTATGTCTATTTCATTCACCAGGTTAGGGAAGTTTTCTGTCATTATTTCTTCAAATATGTTTTCAATTCCTTGTTCTCTCTCTTCTCCTTCTGGTGCTCCTATAATGTGAATGTTGTTAACACTTAAGGTTGTCTCAGAGGCCCCTTAACTCTCTCAATTTTTGGATTCTTTTTTTTTTTCTGTTCTGATTGGGTGTTTTCTGCTACCTTATCTTCTAAATTGTGGATTCAATCCTCTGCTTCATCTAATCTACTGTTGATTCCCTCTAAAGTATTCTTCACTTCAGTTATTGTATTCTTCATTTCTGACTGGTTCTTTTTTTTAAAGATTTTTTTTGGGGGGAGGGAATTGGGGGATGAGAACAGCTCTGGGGAATTGGGGGAAGGGGAACAGACAAGTTGCTGTTGTTTTGGTCTTCAGTCTAGTTGTGGAGGACGTTGCTTAGTGAAGCCCAAGTTGGCACCATCATTGCGCTCTTCCTGGGCAAGGCAGATCAGTCGCCGGCTTCTGGACGGCTGCTCACGGCGGCTGCTGGCCGCTCACGCTGGCTGCTGGCTAAACACAGTAGCCCATGGCAACCCACTGCCACAGGGGCTGCAGCCCACGCCATCGCCGGCGACTCATGGCAGCCCAGCTCCAGGTTGAGCTGTTGCTCACCATCTTAGCTGTAGAGGGCAGTGTCACTGGCCCTCATATGTGGGATCCGAACGGGGCCCTCTGGCGTCCCAAGCCAGCTCTTAACCAATGCGCCATTCGGCCGGCCCTGACTGGTTCTTTTTTATGTTTTCTGTCTCCATTTTTATGTTTCCTATCTCTTTGTTCACATTCTCCCTGAGATCACTGAGCATCCTTACAACCAGTGTTTTGAACGCTATCTGGTAGATTACTTTTCTCCATTTTGTTTATGTTCTTTTTCTGGAGATTTGTTCTGTTCTTTTATTTGGGACACGTTTGTCTCCCCATTGTGGCTGCCTGCCTGTGTCTGTTTCTATGTATTAGGTAGGGTTCTGATGTCTCCTGGTCTTAGTAGTGTGGCCTTATGTAGTAGATGTCCAGTGGGGCTCAGTGGTGCAGTCTTCCTGGTCACCTGAGCCGTGTACTACAGAAGTGTCACTTCTGTGGGTTGTGTGTGTCCTCCTCTTGTAGTTGAGCCTTGGCTGCCATTTGCACGTCAATGGAAAGGATGGGCCCTGGTGCTCACTGGCTGTGAGGACTGGCCATGACTACAGTGGAGGAGTTGAGGTACAGGGGCTGACCCTACAGAGCAGGATCTGCCTCAGCAGAGCTCTGGTGCCTCCCCAGTCTGCCCCTTGGGTGTGTAGTTCTTGGAGACGGCTGGGTGATGCGCCAGCTCCTGTTGAAACTGGCCACTGGGGGTGCCAGACCCACGGCCACCTGGGAGGGGACCTACTGCAGGTCAAGTTCCACTGCAGCCCGTGCTCCACCCAGGGCCACCAGCAAGAGTCACAAAGCAATCTGCAGATGGCTGCCGCCTGTGCTGTGCTTGGAAGTTCCTCGAGAGGCCAAGCCACAAGCCACAAGCCACTAATGCCAGCTTAGGGCTGCTCAGCCAGAGGTACAGGACCCGCTTAAGCCAGATGCTGGTTGTCTGGGTTCTGTGAACCTTTGAGAGACCCTTTGTGAACCTTTGCGAACTTTGAAAGTCTGCAGTATGAGCCAAGGCAGATGGTTTGTAAGAAAAGCCACTGGAAGCGGCTTGGGTGTGCCCAAAAGTTGGGCAGGGTGAGGTCTCAGAATCACCAGGGTGTGGTGAACCAACGGCGTTAGCCAGCTTGATGGAGACTCAGATATGGCAGCTGCCTGCACCTGCACACTGGGAAGGGGAGGGCTCAACAAAGCAACAATGGCTTCTGCCAGCTCCTCCGTCAGGGAGAAGAAAGCTGCCTTCCAGCAGCCCCTGAAGCAGGACAGCTCAGTTCCCCATAGTTCGTCCCTGTCACCTCTCCAGCTACCGCTCCAGCACTGGAGCTCCAAGCCAGTGATTCTGTGGGTAAGTCTGTGCGCCGGCCCTTTAGGAGGAGCACCTGGGGCTCCACCACCCTCTGTTTCCCTCAGCCACAATCTCCGCTGGTTTTCACAGCCAGAAATTATGGGGACGTCTCTCCCCAGCACTGGAACCCTGGGATGGGGAGGGGCTGGGACCCCTTGCTCCCCTGGAGGGTAGCGGGGACCTCCACAGCTGAGATGTCTCTCCTGAATTTTAATGGTCACACGTGGGTGTGGGACCAGCCTGTTCTGTGTCTCTGCCCCTCCTACCAGTCTCAAGGTGGTTTCTGTGTGTCCGTATTTGTACGGCTTTGGTTCAGCTCAATTTTAGGTGATGCTCAATAATGGCTGTTTTATAGTTTAGTTGTAATTTTGATGTGGTCGTGAGAGAAGGTAAGCACAATGTTTACCTGCTCCACCATCTTGACTGGAACTCCAAATTTGTCTTACTTTTGATGGTAGGTGAGTTTGTATTCAAAAATTGAAGTCTGTATAGTTTTCATTGCTTTGAAGTCAAAGACTGTATAATTCTACTTTGAATTTCCAGCACCTGGCTAAGTATATAATCAGAGCTCAGTAAGTTCTTCTCACTATCCTAAGGTCTTTTACATTTTTCTGCACAGACACGAGAGTCCTGGTTCTACTGTACCAACTGGTGGGGGGGAGGGGGCGCAGGTGAAACCACGGAGACTCAACAGTGGATAGTTTTCTTTCTTAAGCTGGGCGATGGGTAAACAGGTGTTCACTGTATTATTTATTCTCTTATACCTCTACGTATCTTAAATATTGCATAATTCATTTTTTCAAAGAAAAAAGTAGAAAACTAAGTATAATATTCACAGCGTGACATTGCTTCACAGGCAGGCAAATACTGGACCACTGACTTCACTACACTTCAGCAAAGGTGGAGCGAGAGGTCTCTCATCACTCAGACTTCCGTGCTGGGAAAGCACAGTCATAGCAGAAGTCAACCTCTCTGCCCTCTCTGGTGGCTCTGCTTCTCCAAAGTTTGTGTTAGAAAGTAAATGCTGCCTTCAATCTCACTGTTATGGCAGCAGATATGACTGGTCCAGCAGCAGCAGGCCACACCCCCAAGGGTAAATTACCTCAATTTCCTGTAACTGCTCCTGGTTGGTTGTATACATCTGCTGAAGAGACTCCTCCAGCTGTGTGTTCCGGTCCAGCAATGTCTTCCCAAGCTCAGCAGCCAGCTGGAGATCTAGCACGACAAATGAATAATGCAAATGGCCTCATGTCAACATTTTATATAGCCCATTTCTTAAAGTAAGAATGAACCAAGACCCAATGCACCATGTGAAGTTAAGTCAGATCCCAGTGGAAGGCACAGAAGAAAGCCTGAGTTCTACTTCACATCCAGTGCAACTGGGGCCCCCACCAGTCATGGACTCTTCTGTACCCCTACTTGTAAGACGTGAGGAAAACCGATCTACTTTATGGAGACATACTCCATAGTTTAGGACTGATCACTCAGCATCGTGACTTCTAAGATCATAATTATTTGCTAATGGACTGGGCTTATTCATATCCTCATGGTATACTGTTTCGGACAGACCCTCGAGCCAAAGTACAGACAGATATTTAAGTGGTCTCTAAAGTGAAATCCGGCTGCTGTGAATGTATTATATTAATGCAACTGTCAAAGCAAAGTTTGTTGTTGCAGATCCTGGCTTCCTAAAGGGACTAAAAATTATTAAGTCAAAAAAAAGAAAAATACATCAGTAACAAGAGCATTGCCCCAGGTCTTCTGCCTTTTTTTCTACTTCTCTTCACATCTTTCTCAAAGATGAGCAAACCAGATAGCAGCACAGCTGTTACGCTTTTGAGGTAATTACACGTCAGCCGTTCATACCATATTTTGTTTTGGCACGGAAGCATATTTCCATTTTAAATCTCATTTTTCAACTCTCTATTCTTAGGCAAATATGCACATAAGACAGGATTTGTGTTACACACAGTCCCAGAAATAAAAATGTAACGATACCAGAAAGACACGAGTTCTAACATAGGCACCTGCAGTAACTACCTGCAGAGGAAACTTGCGAGCGAGGCCTTCAGTACAGTGGGGAATGCACTGGGCTGAGGACAGAGGTCTGAGGTCCGCTCTGACTACCATTTACTAGGTTACTACTTTCCACACAGGGATTTTAACAGTCCCTACACATAGTATTCTTGTCTAGAGACGACTGTGCTGTTAATATAAATAACATTGTGAAAGCAACTGAAATAATAAGGAAGTACTTTACAAACTAAGCTGCAATACAAACGCAAAGCATTATTAGTATTCAGTGATTCACAAATGTTTTTATTGCTAGGCACTATGCTAAACTTTGGTTACAGAATGGGAAATAAAATGGATAAAGTTCCTGTTTTCTTCACACTTCCAGATTAATGGGAGAAACCAGACAGCAAATAAGTAGAAAAACTTGCAAACTGTGATAAATGCTTCTCATTCATACACGCATGCATACATTCAATAATACCAGTCAGGAACAGAGTGAGGAAATAAAATAGAGTCACTAGTCAAGCTGCTAAATTACTATAATCACGTAGGTTGAGGCCTGCGGAAACGATTCTATTCTTGCTTTAACTAGCCTGGGAACATATACTTCTGAACTGTCCAGTCCTGCGTCAATGGCTGGATATACAGCAAGCTTCCAGATAACCCTCTGGTTACCCCCTGAAGGACTAAAGAAAGAACCTTCACGTAGCCAGACCACCGGTCATCCTGAGGATGACCATCTTGGACCAATCCAGAGGCTAAGACCGCAGGACTGAGTCTTCTCAAGGATGCACTTTCTTTACTCTTAGCTTTTCTTTCTTCTTCGGAACACCCTCAGTATTGCCTAGCTGTGTTTCTGGCGTGTGAACCCTAAGACCCTTGAATAAATCTTTATCATTTATTTCTAGCCAAAGCATCTAGACTCTTTTTGAGCTCAGTCAACACCAGATACCATTCTGGGCACTGAGGATACAGGACTGAACTTAGCTGAACATTCCCTGCCTCATGGAGCTTCTATTCTGTTGGGAGAAACAGCCTGATAAAATATAGGATAGACACGTAGCAGGAAGTGCGAGAGAGAAAGAGTCAGGCATGGGATGGGGACAGGAAGAGTGTGGACTTGGGAGGTTGACACTTAAGAACGTGACCAAGGTGACAACAGAATCGTGATGTGAAGAAACTGAATAAGTGAGCCATGTGGCTCTATCCAGGTGACCAGCATTCCAGGCAGAGGCCAAGCAGTATGAGGCCGCAGGGAGGCCGTGTCCCTGGACATCGGAGGCCCACGAGGCCAGAGCAAACTGTGCTCAGGAGGCAAGTCAGGGCCTCCAAGGTCAGCTGGCTTGCAGCGCCGGTCTAAGGAGGGCAAGATTTTGGCTTTTCCTCTGAGTGAAATGTAACCCAGGGACAGGATCACTCTGGCTCTGTGTCCACACTGAAAGGGACAAAGGTGGAAGCAGGGTGACAAGAGGATACTGCAGTCATCTGGGTGAGAGACAACGGTGGCAGAGACGGAGAGAAGGGGTAGGATTCTGGGTATGTTTTGAAAGTAGAGCCGAAAGGATGTGTTAACCCAGTTGGATGTGGTGTGTGAGAGAAAAAAGAAAAAAAAATGGATTTGGTGATAATAAACAAAGGAGCTACTTTAAAAGGGAGGTCACAGGGGGAGTCTGTCTGAGGAGACATTTTAGCGAAAGCTTGAAGGATGAGGATCTCGCCACGTAAGAACCAGGCAGCAGCCCGGCAACAGGAAAACACCTGACATGTTCTACAGCCCGACAAAAAGCCCGTGTGTCAGCAGCATGAGGGGGACAGCGGGATGGGACGGAGCTGGGATCACACAGGTTTTATGGGCCACGGTAAAGAGTTTGACTTTTAGTCTAAGTACGATGGAAAGTCATTTCGCTTAACGTCATAAAAATACTTATTATGAAAGTGTTATAAAAACAGGAAACCTCACTACATGTTATTTTTAAACTTAATTTTTACACGTTGACAAATAAGATTTAACATGTATACATTACTACCGATATTAAAACTTAACCTAGAGGGCCGGCTGAGTGGCGCAATGGTTAAGAGCTGGCTTGGGACTCCAGAGGGCCCCGGTTTGGATCCCACATATGAGGGCCAGTGACACTGCCCTCCACAGCTAAGACGCTGAACAACAGCTCAACCTGGAGCTGGGCTGCCATGAGTCGCTGGCGACGGCATAGGCTGCAACCCCTGTGGCAGTGAGTTGCCATGGGTTACCGTGTGTAGCCAGCAGCCAGCATGTGCGCCTGTCCAGAAGCCGGCGACTGATCTGCCTCTCCCGGGAAGAGCGCAATGATGGTGCCAACTTGGGCCAGTGAAGCAACGTCCTCCACAACTAGACTGAAGAACAAAATGACAGCAACTTGTCTGTTCCCCTTCCCCCAATTCCCCAGTGCTGTTCTCATCTCCCCAATTCCCCAATAAAAATCTTTTTTAAAAGAAACAAACTTAACCTAGAATGAGCGGTAACAGAAAAGCGACAACTTTTGTTACCTGGTACTGTTCTTCCAGGTGCCTAATTATTAATAGTATTCTACTTGGCTAGTTTTCCCTCATTAGGAAAAAACAAAGCAAAATCTACACACCACTCCAGCTCGCCTTAAAACATTTTATACCCATTTAAATAAAGCAGTATACTGTTAGTAGACAGCTATTAAAGTACATTCTCATGATTTAAATATTAACAATGCCTATTAATGTACTTACGATTTCAGATAAGTCTAGGAAATGAAATCTTATATTCACAAGACAGAAAGCCTTTTGAACAGCTCAGACCATTTCAGAGACAGTCATCTTTATGCTCAAGGTTAGCCCAGTTTTCCAGATGAGACCGCCTGACACTAAGATGCTCCCCAACCTGACCAAATCTACATGGGAGTCACAGGGTCTGTCGCCCTTGTCACCGTTCTCCCTCTGTTATACTCATGTTATCTACAGCTGCACAGCTTTAAGCCAGACGAGGATGTCCACAGACTTCCTTGTTTAAGGTAGAGCACCAATTCCCCGAGTGGGCACCTAACCTTTCTGCTTGTGTTCAGAGATGCTGATGGGAGCCTGGGCTTGAGCTGTCCAGCTTTCCTGCCTGCTCCCAGCGAAAGTCTGTACAGTCCCAGGCAAGTTAGTATCCTGTTTTCACTAAGCGAAAACCGAGCTCGGTACAGCTTCAAGATGGTCCCGAAATAATTATTTTGTACTCACAGGGTGTCATCTGTACACACTGAGCCACACAGAAGCTACTTAAGTTTTGAAGTGGTGAGTGGTGAGACTCACCAAAGAAGGTCTTAACTAGCGGTCAAACCCGAATCAAGACCAACTTCCGACCCTCCTCAAGGACTTCCCTTTCGTTATGGGAAGACCTGTGCTCCTTACTACACAGCCAGGAGCAGCTCGCCTGCGGCTGCAGACCAGCACCAAATATGGCACTCCTCCAGTAAACGGCGACCAGAAAAGAACCCGACTCTTGTCCTTATCTCAGTCCTTATTTCCAGTTAAACAAAGCCCCATCTGGCTCGGTAACCTAAAGTCTCAGTCGCCTAAATATTTCATAGGCTGTTTAGGATAGAATTCTGGCAAGACAAGTAACAACTACACGAAAGCGCCTGTGAAGTCACACTGTATAAGAGGATATTACTTCATCTGTTAGTTTAAGGACAGCGGCCTTTTTTGGACTTTAAAAAAAGTTCATTTCCTGTCGCGTAGCATCTGGCTTCCATACCAAAAGGAGCCACAAGCTGGCAGTAAGCCCAAGAAGGTTTTCTAAATAATTAGTGGGGGGAGTGGGAGAGAAGTCAATGTCCTTTATTACTATGGTTTTAATTAAGGCACAAAAGAAAAGGGAACAATACAGTTTTGAGGCCTTATGCGCCGGCTCACCTATTTTCCAATAAAGATTTTCATTAAGAGGTTGTCTCTTCCGAACACTATTGAATTGGTTGAGGCAGCACCAAAAACACCCCAGATTTACTGCAGGCTCCCAAATGACGACCTAGCAATACCTTTATGTTTAATAAGCTTTCACAATCAGCCTTTGCAAGTGATGAAAATCCATTTAACACTGTACACTGTTAGCTTTAAGCACATTCCACTCGGCCCTGTACCTTAGGCAAAACCTCAGCTCTAGTGACTGTGATTTTTTAGAAGGATCTTTCTTCTAGAATTCTGAAACCTTTAAATCCCACTAGTACATTTTTCTTATGTTCCTGGTTTTTCAAAACGAGGACAGCATATTCCCATGTTAGCTGTAGTCTGCAGCAGTAATTCAATCACTTGAAGGCTGAAAGCTTTTCCTGTTACAAAGTCAAATGCGTCATTTGGTGATGCTTCTGTGTAATTCCTGTTGCCAACGTTACTATAATTGGGAAGCAAAAAACCTGAACGTAAACATCAAGAAAAATGATGGTGTCCGTTTTAATGACCCTCCAAACAGTGATTCAGCAGATTAGTTACATACCAGGAAAATGTACTTGTCTTGAAAAGCAGCAGGAATCTTAGGATTCCTTCAAACTAAGATTTCATTTGCTGATCCATACTGCAGAAACCTGAGTCCTTAGGCTAAGCTTGCACAGCTCTGCAAATGACAATTATAATAGCAGCTGGCCTAAAAGAAAATCCCGTCTCTGAAGTCTGTCCACCTTGCTCTCAGGGGCACATTTCAAAGCCAGCACCATCGTTACCTGCACAGAAGCTCTTGCTGTCCCAGAAAGGATTCTACCCACAGAGATCTTTGTCAGTATTTTTCCTGTGCCAACTCAGCCCTGTGACAAAAGACAGTCTCCATCAAAGTGTTTTGTAAAAGCAAAGGTTTTCTCCTTCGGCCTGCACACAGCTTTACAAGTTTCTAACAAGGTATGAAAGGTAGGCCAGAGCCTTCTGAGGTTTGAATTTTCCAGCAATTTTAATTTAAAAAAGAATGCCCCAGCAAACTCGGATACAAAGATTCAATCTATTTTAAATAATGCTTCTATTGCTAAAGGAAAAAAAAATCAGTCGTTCTATGACTTTGAGAACAGGATCTTAAAAAGTTTTAGTATCTCTCTCCAGACAAGTCTCCCTCAGTCCAGTTAATTCACGCAGATCTCGGAGACACCATGGGTTTGGTTCTAGACCACTGTAATAAAGCAAGTACTGCAGTAAAGCAAGTACTGCAGTAAAGTGAGTTGTTATCTTTTTGCTGGTGGAGAGTCCTGCCTTCCATTGACAAACAAACAAACAAACAAAAGCGCAACACCTCTGAGGCACAATAGAGTGAAGCAATGCAATAAATGAGGCATATGCCTGTAGCAAAGATGTTAAAAATGAACAGAGGTCTGCACTTGATAAAATCCCACTACATTTGTTTTATCAATCAATTTAAGAGGGCAGACCTGCGACTCCCAAACTTTATTCAGGAACAAATATCTATTGAGGGCCCACCATGAGCCAGGCATTGAGGTGGGCACATACCAGGGAGCAGCATCAACACATCCCTAAGCCCTCAGCTTCACTTTGCTGTGGGACCCTGTCTGTCCTTTTGCTGTGGGACCCTGCCTGTCCTATCTGTGGGGTAGGCACTGTGGCCCCAGGGCCTGGATACATACCTCGCATAGAGGTGATAAGTATTTGAGAAATTAACAAGTTTTAAAATCCATTAGAAGTTTAGGAGTTCTTTAACATATAATTTAACAAAATTGGGACCAAGATATTCCTTTTATTCACACTGCAGCCTTCATTCTTTTACAGGCTATATTCACAAGTTATGGTTGTTGGAATTTCATATCTATTCCTACCCGACAAACTTGGTTATGACACAGACGGTTATGTCAAAGTCCATTGTGATACGATGTAAAAGTCTTTTGAGAAGCAAGGAACAAATTCCAAATGCAAACTGGCATTAAGGAGGTTTGGACCCGTGTTCTTTAAGGTCTCATTAAAATTGAACACCTGATGACTTCCTTTGGTTCAGAGGTTAGAGTTCCACATGTAACCCCAACAAGGTGCATTTGCTTCTCAGTAGATTGAAACATTACAAATGATTCTTCCTAACAACCTCCCACGGGGGAAAGTGCTGTGGACTAAGGGACCTGATGGAAGAGAGCTATGAAAACAGCAACCCTGCGCCAGTGCCTCATTCAGTTCAACAAATATTAAAATCGAGCTTCTGTTATATGCCAAGGATTACGCTAAATTCAAAAACAAAACAAGCCTGTACAGATGCTTCTTATGCTTCTATGCTTCTATGCTTCTTAAATGCAGGGAAAAAAAATAATACTTAGCTTTGACTATACAAACTGCTTAAATCATTATAAGGAAATGCTGCAACTGTACAGTGGTTGTCACATTAATCCTGGAGAAAATATCAAACTAGGCCATCAATCCTTATGGGGAATTCGGAAAACAGGCTTGTTAAAATGTAAGAGAAATGTGTCTTGTGGACATGGAAAATGTGATGGCAAATCCTGCACTGCAGCCGCTAAGTAGCTTAGATCATATGAGCAGGCGTAATGGTGAAGTGCTTCAGTTTAGGTGACTGTCCACAGTATGTTGATTTAAGAAATCGCCTTCCCCCAGAAGATGTGCTTTTTTTATTTCCCTTTTCTAAATATGAGTAATTCAAGTTTACATTCCTTTCCCTTCCACCCCCCAAGTTCAATGGTTCGCATGAACAAACATCATGGTCATTTAATATTCAACTAAATGAAATGTTAATTTTCACTGCAAGTTAAGAGCTGAAAACACAATTGCAGAAACGGAAGATGCCTGAGGATTATTCAGTATAAAGAAAGCCAGCCCTGGAGCTTGAAGTGGGCTCCTAGCTCCAATAGCAGTATCTCCTTTCCACCTGCACAGTTGTTGAGAAGGTTAAATGAGCAGCTGTGTGAAGGGCCTGCCCGTGTCTGGAACACAAGAAGCGTTCCCCGATTTCAAGTTCCTGCTACTAATGTGCAAAAAAGGGGGGCCCTGGCTGCAAAGTGAGGGCTGTCTAACTATTTTCTCTGGCGACACACCATCCGCAAGACATCCCAGGCAGGCTCAGATAGGAGTGCCTGTCTCTAACTTGAGCTGGATGGAGTTCAAGGTGAAGCGAGTGGTGGAGGCAGACATGTCCTCAAGTCACTTCAAGGCCTCTGGTGAACGATGCAGAAGCAAATTGTTGTCGTTGCTGTCCCAACAGTCTAACACCCAACTGAAGAGGCTGTAAAGCGGGTGGTAACGAAGAGATGGGGTTTGGGCGGCGGAGTGTGGCCCCTCGTTGCGGGTGTGTGGATTCAAAAACACCTGTTTCCCGCTCCTAACCCAAGGGAAGTCACTTGGCAGCTCTGGCCTCGGCTTTCCTCACCTGGAAAGCGGGGCGAACGAAACCTACCTCTGGCAGAGCTATCGTGCGGATCACAGGTGGGCACAGGGCTGTGCACAGGTCCTGCCCGAGCGCTCTGCAAGACCTACCACCGGCAGCAGCTCCGGTTCCCCCCAGAGGCCGACGGGCAGCGGGGCGCGGGCCTGGAGAGAGGGGGTCCTCCCGCTGCCACCGGGGAAGGCGGGCAGGATTAAGGCGGTTCGCCCAGGAGCGCGCTGCGGGCAGTGCTGCTGACTGCGCAGCGGCCCGGGCCCGCGCTGCGCCCGCCTCCGGGGCTGGATGGGCAGGTGCGGCGGGTCCCCACGCGTCTCAGCCCGACGTCGCACGTCCCCCGCACCTGGCATCCGTGGGCTGCGAGCAAACGCAACTTGGTAACAGCGTCGCCGCCGCGAGCCTCCCGGGCCTGGCCGCCCCCCGGCCGGCCGGCCGACCGCGCCCTCACCTTGCTGGAGCTCCCGGTTGTCGAGCCACGGCTCTTCCTCCTCCTTTATCTCGAAGTCCTCCTCCACCAGGTTTTCCGCCAGCATCTCGGCCGGCTCTCCCGGGGGCAGCAGCTCCCGCTGCCGCCGTCCCGCGTCAGCCGCTGCCCCGGGCTCCCCGCCGGCCCCTCCGTCCTCAGCCAGAGCCGCCCTCGGGCGGGACGCGCCGCCACGCTGCCTGTCCAGAGCCGCCCGCCGCCGCCGCTGCCGCGGACCGGCTTCCTGACTCGCGTCGTGAGGCCCAACGGCCAGCAGCCCGGCGCGAGGACCCGGGCCGGCGCCCCGAGCCGGCTCCTCGCGCAGCAGCGGAGCCCAACGTGGCACTTTGGCAGCAGGCTCCCGGACGAGGGCTGCATTCAAACCCCCGGCGGCTTCTCGGCCAATCGCGAGCGGGCCGCCGGCCGAGGGGCAGCGACGCCGTCCAATGGCGTCTCACCGCAGGCCCCGCGGTTCGCCCGGTCTCGTGGGCAAGCAGCCAATGGCCACTCCGAAGGAAACAAAGAAGGCGGGGAAAAAAGGAAGGGGTGCGGCCGGGGGCCCCGCCCTCTTCGCTGCGTCGGGTAGCCTCTGGGAGCGGGCTTCGGTGCCGGGGTGTGGAGGCGGCGGCGGCCTCCGCGGCGCCTGTGGTGGGTGTCTGGCCGCGGGGACAGCCAGCCAGTGGTCAGGTTGTGTGAGCGTCAGGGCGGAAGGCCGGCCTCCGAGCGTGGGCCGTTGTCGCGGGGCGTCCCTCGTGCCAGCGGGGGCGCGAAGGGTGCCGGGAGCCCGAAATGCGCGGCCCTGCCGGCCCCCTCTGGCCTTTGGACCCCCAGGTGCCCTCTGGTTGACGCGCGGAAATTAAGGGTTGGAAGGGACTTTAGGACCGCCAGCCGTTTTCTCCTTGACCTCTGAGCCCTCCCCACCTCCGACCCGCCGGGGACTGGACTCACTCCCCCTGAAACGGCGGGCTCCAGACCCACTCGGGAATTTAGGGGCGGCAAGGGGTGCGGTTGAAGCTCTCCCCTTAGAAATCCATGGCGAGCAATTTTGCGTGCGATTTGGAAGAGGTGCATAGACTCCAAGTCAAGCCTCTAGGGTCGTGACATTGTACCTGGAGAGAATGCCAGCCAACAAACGTGGAAGGAATAATGGTGTTAGAAAGTAATCATTATTTAAAAAAAAAAAAAAAGGAATGGTAAACTCACAAACCCTTTTCTTCTGAATCCTGGTATACTGAAAGGCACAATGTTCCTCATCTACTTTGCATTGCTAGGTTAAAACGCGAAGATAGCTTGGTAAAGCCTCGACTGCCCGGCTTGTCAATATTCTGATAGAGAGATTGGTCCAGAGCCAAAAGGAAATAACTTAAAACCATCGTAATTTCAAAGTAAGTCACTACAGCTGGAGAGAGCTCTTTGGAAAGCGAGGATATTAGGATTTAGGATTTTGCTGATGGCGATTTGCAGAAGCTGAAGGGCTAAGAATCACGCATTTGACCTTCAAGACACTCTTCCATAGTCACTGACCCGCAAGATTGAAAATGCTGGCTTTTTTTCCCTCCGTGGCACACAGCTCATTTTGACTCCAAATCAAATGGGAAAGTGTACTGAAACGTTCTTTAACATTTTCCTTCAGACAGAGCAATCTGGGGGATTAAAGTTATTGACGATTTAAAACGGCAGAGGGGAAAAGAAGCCCGGTTTTATTATGCCTTTCGGTATTAGTGGGTTCTTTTGAAGGACACTGTTTGGGGGGACTTTTGTTTTTGTTTTTTTTTTCCTGGAAGAGCTTGATCAAAATTGCATCAAAAAAGAGATGTTAGCTTTCAGTGCCTTGGAGGGGTCTCCAGCATTCTTTTAGAGTTTACTTAGTC